CTCATCCTCGTCCTCGTCCTCCTGCAGGTCATGATATGGCTTACCCTGCTTCTCCCCTTCGTCCTCCTCCACTCCTCTGCCACGTAGAGAAGTCCTCGTCGCACCATCAGACCACCAGACGCGCAGGTAAGGCGGGCAGGGAGTTTCCCCTGAGCCTTCCTCACATCTCAGGGCCAGGGAGCTTGGAAGCTCTGACAACTAAACGGATGCAGGGCGGCCGGTGTTCAACATGTGTCTCTCGACTTAGCGTCGCGCGGACTCGTCTTAAACGCTTCCAACAGATGGCGATGTGGGGGGTGGCGGTCTTCAAACAAGGTTGCTCTCGCTTTACCAATGAGCACATTAGGTTGTAAAGGCTACGGTTTCCGATCTGTGCATAGATGGATGGCGGCCCGTGTTCATCATGTGGTGTTTGTTGTTTACCGTCGCGCGCATTCGTCTTCAAAGCTCCCAACAGCTAAAGGGCGGGGGGCGATTGGTTTTCAACCTGGACTCTCGCTCACGAACACAAGTCTTAGACTACACACTGCTAACATCAAGGATGGGAGCGGCTCTATATCAAAATGGGGCTGTCGCCTGAGACGGCCTGACAATTTTTTAGCTAACGGATGAATAGTGCGAGACAGCTCCGCAGATGGAGGGCGGTTCTTCCTCAAATAACAAACTCCTGCTTCATTGAAGTCACGGCCATGCCTTTTGGCATTCCGTCTCTCGAGGCGGGGCTCTCGCGTGAATGGGAAGCCCGTTGAGAAATCGTCGTCCAAGGGTGTGCTTCCTGCAACAATAAGTCATGCCTGCAGGGGCCTGTGAGGAGGGAGCCCTGGGACGGGAGAGCGCATTGCAGCGTCGTTGACACGTCAAGGGCTTACTATGGTGCCGATCCCCCTGTTCCTACACCCGTGCCCCTCCTCCTCCTCCTTTTCCTCCTCCTTTTCCTCCTCCTTTTCCTCCTTCTCCTGCTCGACATCCTAATCTGAAGGGGCCCTGGGACACACACACACACACACATAAATACACACGAATAACAGGATTCTCCATAATTTTAATTTTTCCGGGGAATCGAAGATTAATTGTGTCTGTGTGTTTCTTTTCCTCCTGATAATCGTCGTCCTCCTGCTGCTGTCGCACGCATGCCACTGGGACAATACGTGGCCTTCGATGCTGACCTTCCACCCGACGCAGAGCTGGCCTCGCACAGCACGCCGAGGTCGGACGCGGGACCCAATCTGGACAACGTCGTCGTTGTTGTTGTCGTCGTCGCGTCGTCGTGTTCGTCGCCAAATCTCCGCCCACCTCCTGGCTCGATCCCGAGCATCGCCTCGTCCTCCCTCTTGGGAACAGAGGAAACGGGACAGACATTAGCTTTGGGGGCTCCGCGAGGATTTCTTTGATAGGCGCTGGGACCCCCTCCCCCAGCGCGGATCAAGAAATCCGTGCGGAACTCCGAAAGCTTCTGGTGAGCATTTTCTTATTCGGCGTTTCGACATTTGGCGGAAGGGGGGGCAAGGGGGGAGGGGGCCAGCGGCTCCGGACCTCTGCTCAATGCGACTGTTTGCAGCAGTGCGTCCTATGAGTGAGACTCCACCTGCTCGAAACAGGCGCCCAAAACCGCCAAGTTCTACTCATCTACTGCATGGGGGAGGGGGGGGATGCGAGGGCCCGAGCTAATCGTCAGAAAGAGGACGAAGAAACGATCACGTGCTTATGTAGTTGTTTCTTCTCCGGCTGCCGCTGGCCCTCCTCCTCCTGGGCGCTGGGCTTTATCGGCACGAGTATCCCGCAGGGCTGCCGCACCGCCCCCTCCCAGGGGGCCTTGCCCCTAAAGGGTTGATGAAACTAGTTTTAGGTCGGGAATGCCCTCCTAAAGGCGGATTTAGGAAGAAAATAATACACAGCCCAAGAAGGATCACAAATCGTCAAAAGAGCGCGGAAAATCGTCGCCAGACTATTTATCACTATTCTTGAGCATTCCTCCTGTAGAGGGACATGCCCGACTAAAACTCGTGCTCCGAAATGAAAAAAAGGGAAGCGGCTGGCGCCCCCCCCGCCCCCCTCGCCCCAGGGGCAGGACAGCATGGCCCCCATGCGCCCTGGGGGTGGGGGCAGGAAAGAAGACGAACTGAAATCTCGAAGAGGGGGGGGGAGTGGGAAGCAGTTCGGAGGGAAAGAAACACACAGACACAATTAATCGTCGATTCCCCAGAAAATATAGGAAAGCATGGGAAGTGGGGGGGAAGACAAAAGCCCAGAAAATATTGGAAAATATCGGGAATAATTTTATTTGTGTATTTATTTGTGTGTCCTGGGGCCCCTTCAGCAGTTGCAAGTGCGTCAAGTGGTGGAAGTGGCGCTGCAAGGCGAGTGCGGCCATGGCCGCACTCGCCGAAAGTGGGATGGCGCAAGGACCTCTCCCGTGCCCGCAGGACACCTACAAAACCCAACGCCCAACCCCACCCAGGGGGCCCTCACCTCCTCCTCCTCCTCCTCCTCCTCCTCCTCC